TCATCATCATTATCATCTTCATCCGCTCATCCGGGATCGGGTCGTGGGGGTAGCAAGTCTAGCAGAGGACCCCAAACTTCCCTTTCCCTGGCCACATCGGCCAACTCTGATTGGGGGATCCCGAGGCGTTCCCAGGCCAGTGTTGGGATATAATCTCTCCACCTGGTCCTCGGTCTGCCCCGTGGCCTCCTCCCAGCTGGACATGCCAGGAACACCTTACTCGGGAGGTGCCCTGGAGGCATCCTCACCAGATGCCCGAACCATCTCAGCTGGCTCCTTTCGACGCAAAGAATAAGCGGCTCTTTTCTGAGTCCCTTGCGGATGTCCGAGCTTCTCACCCTATCCCTAAGAGAGAAGCTGGCCACCCTCCTGAGGAAACCCATTTCCGCTTGTACCCGCGATTTTGTTCTTTCGGTCATGACCCATCTCTCATGACCATAGGTGAGGGTAGGAACAAAGATCGACCAGTAGATCGAGAGCTTTGACTTTCGGCTGAACTCTCTTTTGGTGACAACTGTTCGATAATGGGACCGCAATACTGCCCCTGCTTCCCCGATTCTCTGGCCAATCTCCTGCTCCATTCTACCCTCACTCGTGAACAAAACCCAGAGGTACTTGAACTCCGTCACTTGGGGTAAGGACTAACTCCCTACCCGGAGTAGACAATCCACCAGTTTCCTGCTGAAAACCATGGCCTCTGATTAAAGGCCCGGACACACCAACCCAAATATCGGCCGTCGGACGTCGGGTGAGGTCGGTGACCCGAGTCAGTTCGGTGTGTCCCGTGCTGTTGTCAGTCGGCTTCGGCGTTCATTTTGGCCGATTCGACATGTAGAATCGGCCAGTGGCCATCGGCCTCAATGACCAATCTGATTGGTGGAGTACTAGCCCTTGACTAGCGAATCAGTGAATGCACAAGAAAACCGGAAGTGACAATGGTAAATGTACGACGCCAACGCCAGTATCTTGTTATTATTAGCCATCGTATTTTTCCGTTCCTGTCATTTTTAATTTTTTTTGGGCGACAACACTGATTAGAACCGCCTGCTGTTATGGGGACTTATTACGCCTTGTGCACGCGCAGAACGTACGCTCCAGTCGGCGTCGGTTTAGTGTGTTTTTTTGACCGACTCGGGGAGACAGGAGCCGACTGATCAGTCCGACGGTCGGCCATCGGGTTGGTGTGTCCTGGCCTTTAGAGGTGCTGATCCTCATCCCAGCTGCTTGACACTCAGCTGCGAACCAATCCAGTGAGTGCTGAAGGTCACAGGCCGATGATGCCATCAGGACCACATCATCCGCAAAAAGCAACGATGCAATCCTCAGCCCACCAAACTGCAACCCCTCCCCCCATGACTACACCTCGCTATCCTGTCCATGAAAGTCACAAACAGAATTGGTGTCGTGTAGCCCTGGCGGAGGCCAACCCCCACTGGAAATAAGTCCGACTTACAACCAAGAATCCGGACACAACTCTCGCTTTGGAAATACAGGGATTGGATGGCCCTGAGAAGTGACCCCCTCACACCATACTCCCGCAGCACTTCCCACAGGATATCCTGGGGAACCCCTTGTGCCCCTTTTTAAATAGGGGGAACAACCAACCCAGTCCGCCACTCCTTCCACGCAATGTTGAAAAGGCGTGTCAACCAAGACAGCCCCTCAACACCCAGAGCCTTCAGCATTTCTGGGTGAATCTCATCAATCCCCAGGGCTTTGCCACTGTAGAGTTGTTTGACTACATCAGTGACCTCCTGCAGGGAAATTGATGCAGATCCCTCATCACACTCCAGCCCTGCCTCTATCACAGAGGGCAGGTTTGTTGGTCTAGTCGGGTTCAGGAGTTCCCCAAAGTGTTTCTTCCACCGCCCAATTACCTCCTCAGTTGAGGTCAGCAGTGTCCCATCCCCGCTGTACACAGCTTGAATGGTTCCCCGCTTCCCCCTCCTGAGGTGTCGGACGGTTTTCCAGAAACGCCTGGGTCTGAAAGTCCTTCTCCATGACTTCTTCGAACTCCTCCCACACCCGCTGTTTTGCTTCCCTCACAGCTGTAGCTGCAGTCCCTCGGGCCTGTCGATACCCTGCAACTGCCTCGGGAGTCCCCCAGCATAACATATCCCGGAAGGCCTCCTTCTTCAGTCGGACGGCTTTCCTGACCACCGGTGTCCACCACCGTGTTCAAGGGTTACCGCCCCTTGAGGCGCCCAAGACCTTAAGACCACAGCTCACAGCCGCAGCTTCAGCAATAGAAGCTTTGAACACCAACCACTCTGGTTCGATGTCCCCCGCCTCCACAGGAATGCCGGAGAAGCTCCACCGGAGGTGGGAGTTGAAGGTCTCTCGGACAGTTCACCCGTACTACAAGATTGGGTTTACCAGGTCTGTCCAGTGGCTTCCCCCCCACCTAACCCAACTCACCACCAAATGGTGATCAGTTGACAGCTCCGCACCTCTCTTTACCCGAATGTCCAATACATGCGGCCTCAAGTCTGATGATACGATCAGAAAATCGATCATAGACCTTTGGCCTAAGGTGCTCTGGTACCACGTACACTTATAAGCATCCCTATGTACGAACATGGTGTTCGTTATGGACAATCCATGACTAGCACAGAAGTCCAGTATCAAAACACTGCTCAGGTTCAAATCGGGGACGCCGTTCCTCCCAATCAGGCCCCTCCAAGTATCTCCATCATTGCCCACATGTGCGTTGAATTCTCCCGGGAGGACGATGCAGTCCCCTACTGGAGCCTTATACAAGACTTCATACAGGGTCTCCAAGAAGGCCGAATATTCTGCACTGCTGTTTGGTGCATAGGCACAAACAACAGTCAGAGTTCCCCCCCCCCACAGATCGTAGGCATAGGGTGGCGACCCTCTCTTCCACCGGGGTGAACTCAAACGTAGCGGTGCTTGGCCGGGGGCTTGTTAGTATCCCCACACCAGCCCGGCGCCTCACAACTTGAGCAACTCCAGAGAAGAATAAAGTCCAACCCCTATCTAGGAGTAAGGATCCAGAGTCTCGACTGTGCGTAGAAGTAAGCCCCACCAGATCTAATTGATAGTGCTCCACCTCCTGCACTCCACGCGAAGTGACATTCCATGTCCCCAAAGCCAGCTTTTGCTGCCCGGGTCTGGTCTGTCTAGGCCCCCTGCCTTTACTGCCACCCATCTGGCATTGCACCCAACACAGAATGTATGAACTGCATTTATGTAGCGCTTTAATACAAAGCACTTTCTCATGTGTCTCTTTCACCCATTCACACACATTGATAACAGCAAGCTACTCTGTTCTTTGACTCTTTTTTGTAACTAACTTGTAGATGTCTGCACCAGAGGTAAGTTAACAATACCTGACATTAACAAAAGGGTAATGCACATTTTAATTTGATTTAATAGTTCATAGAATATTAATTGTTCTCACTCTGTTCTACTGTGTAGTTTTCTTTATAAGCTGTAGGTGGTTATATCAGACAAAGGTAAGTTAATAGTTAATGACAGCATTAACAAAAGTTCTCCTGCAAATCTTAATTCACTCATTCAAAGATTGTTTATTTTACTCACTCCGTCATAGATTGTTTTTTTTTTAATTATTACTGAGGTATTGATGGCAGATTGAGGTAAAGTAATAATTAAAAACTGCTGAAGGGTTGTCTCCTTTAATCCTTCTAGCTAGTTTAATAATTCATTGATAATTTATCTCACTCAATCGCTTGTACTTTCATGTTTTATTCACAGCAACGAGTGACGAGACCAGACTGCAGGTATGATGACAGAAGATTACAGGACCAGACTGGAGAAGGATGGAGACTACAGGACCAATCTTTACGAGTCTGCTGAGTAAGTAATCCCCTCACTGAGACTGCAAAAGTAGCAGTAGTGACATAAAGTGGTGATGAGCTAAAGTTAACTATACAAGGTTGTTTAGTTCAAAATGATTCATGACTTGTTTTTCTGTATCATAGGGCAGGACCACTCATCCCAGGAAGACCCAGCACCCCTGCCACTGCCTCAGCCCCTTCACCGACACCACCTTCTTCACCCACCAACCCAGACGATGAGGAGCGCCCTGGCCTAACCAGCACAGAGGACGTTGTTACCTTCTTCGTCTTCTGTGCTGGTGGGTTTGGGATGTTGCTCACACTCACACACAGGAAGTTGTCACCACCTCTTTGCACGAATGCTCAAAAATCAAGACAGTCAAGAAAGACACGGACAGTTCAGACTGAATGAGTATTTAGTTTGTCACATTCAGTGCCGCCTGTTACTGTATACTGTATGTACAGTATGTGTACTGTTTATCAACTGAAGATTACAGTGCAATACATTAAGACAATGTTTTAATTACGTTGTTATATTGTACAATAATAATAAATCTTTCATGTATAATTGATAAACCTGATAATGTATGTCTTCTTTCCATTTGACTCAAAGACACTGGTACTGTTACAAGTGTAACTTTGAACTGTGATTTTGAATAAGTTGGTAAATGTACAAAAAGTCATAACTTTGTTTAACAGGCACTATTTTTAATATATTTTTTCCCTACAGTCCCATTGGTCAACTGGTTTGGTATTTTTCGGTTGATTTTAGTTTGCAGTTTTAGAAAAACAATTAACCATCAAATATAATAACATACAAACATTGTATAACATAAAATGTAACATTGTAAAGCTGCACAAGTGCACATCAGTTAAAATGGTTACTATAGCTTTCTTGAATAATATCCAAAATATCATATATTGATACGGTCCAAATAAATATAAGCAAAATATGTTCAGCTTTTATGATAATGAATTGATAATTTATTATACTAATTATTAGTAAACAGTATAGAAATAATTAAGCTTTATAATCAACTCCCTTATTCGGCAGGTGTTAGTTCAAATTTGATAGCTCATAAAGATGACTGGATGAGTTTTGTCACTCAAAATTCTACCTTAAGGCAATAATTGTGAGCATTACAGAAATATGATGCATTGTTCTTGAAATTGTACATACAAGTTTTTTAAAACTTTTTATTCAACTTTATTACTCAAATATTTAGACTTTAATCTTTAATTTTACTCTCTCCAAACAATGCTCCTAAAACTCTTACAGTAACGATACGTATACAGTAGTAAAATGTCATTAAATATGGTATTTTTGGGTAAAAATCTCAATTTCTTTTTGTACAGCCATAAAACTCTGGGGTAGGAAGTGATCACACACACAGATCACAAGAGAAGCAGAGGAACATGCAAAACCTTGTGTCACAAAAGATTAAAATTTTAATCACCCTTATAAATCATTCTATAAATACATGGTTGTCATATCATTAAGAACTTATTTTAAATAGCAATAGATAACAAACAAGCAGTGGGGTTGCTGGGATCAAAGGAGACAAACCGTAACTGTTAGTGGAAGTAGCTGGGAATGTGTGTGTGTTAAGTTTGGTGTCTTTGCCACTGGTCTTCAATAAGATGCTCCTATCATCACCGCTCTGAAAGACAAAATGAGAATGGCTTACAGTAAAAATGTCCAAGAGTACGGTGATTGTGTGCAGAAAGGTAGACGGACAGACTTACTTTCAACTTTCTTCTTTAGTGGCAACAGTGCTGCTTTTGCCTGAAAAGCAAGTAGAGAATAAGTAACCAAAACATATGTGGAACCATGACACATTTAGCTGGTTTATTTGCTTGTAGTGCAGTTTTACCTTCTTGATAGCAGTCCAGTCTTCGAGGATGTCAATGTCTCTCAACATGTAGACAATGAAAGGCCCTGTGAGATACAAAGGAAGAGGTATTAAATCATCTGTCAGTCTGTTAACTCCAGCTCACAGTCACAGCCTGAGCAAGAGGCAAATAAACTGAGATGCACTCACAGAATAAAGGAACTACAACACATAGAGAATATCACAGAAGATTAGCTGGAAAACTTGAACAAGCAATTTCTGAATGTGGTCTAACGGGAGTAAGGCTAATATGGAACTCTAACAGTAAAGCTGTGAGCAAAAGGTAAAAGAGGATGATGAGGTAAGTTTTACCTGAAACCAGAGCTACTTTCTTTTTCCTCTCCGACCGACCCAGCAGGTTCTTTCTTTTACACTTCTTGCTCTTGATCTCGTCACTCCATTCTGGAACGAGAAATAAAAAAGCCATTAATTACATAACTTGTCTCACCGATTACATTTAGGTTTGTTTCTACTGAGAGATTATACAGACAAAGCAAGAAGAAGTGGAAAATGTGTTCTCATACATGTCTGTGCTGTTGACGGTAAAGGTTGTCTGAAAAGGCATCTCAAGTTGCACTAGACTAGGCGTGATGCCAATGTATAGTAATATCCTCAGATTGACATTTTGGCTATACCTGAGGTGAGGTCTATATTCTGTCTGTCCTCCTCCAGTCTCCGTATCTTTTCCAGCAGTTCTGTCTTCATAGCATCAAACAGCAACGTCTGTTCGCTCTGTAACACACATACATAAATAAATACATACATTTGTTCAATACCACTGGTTCCATTGTTTGAGTGTCCAGTCTGAGTTGTTATGGCTGCATGTGCCTTTTCCTCTTCTGTGCCCTCTAGCTGTGCCCAGGGGTGCTACACCTGATTGCTAAATTAGGTGCACCTGAGCTGGGAATGAGGCACTTTAAAGCTCCTGTGTCAGGATCAGAAGAGAACGGGCTTTTGGGTAGTGTTACTGCCTCTCAGCTTAGGATGTTGTGTTGCTTTTGTGTCTTTTGATAGTCTTGATTTAGTGTCTTGGTTGTTTGTAGGTCTTTATGTAAATAAATCCCATGGATTTGGTTGTTGTAACAGTGTCTTTCTATAGTTGTTTAAGGGTAGAGGTGGAGTGTGTGGCTGTATATATACTGTATGTATAGAATAGAATTACAGTGCATTCACACATAGCAAACAGCAATAACAATTATAAATGGAGAAAAATAATTAAAATGTATTAGAAATAAAGAGTCTATATTTGCTGCAGCCTATAAACAGTAGATAGTTGAGATCTTGTAGTTGTAGTGGCTCAATATCCAAGTAGTGCATGTGCACACTGTGTATTACCTCCAGGTGCTGCCTTGCTCCTTGTAGTTCACACTCGTATTTGTGTTTGATCACCTGTAGACACAGCTCCTTGTACACTCCTGTAAGTAGAGCCACAGAGAGGATGTTAGAAACAGAGAAACACTGTGGACATTCAGGGATCCAAGTAGCAACGCAGCTAGAACCCTCTTGTTTTTGTTTTTGTTCTCATTCTTCTTCTTCTTCTCCTTCTCCCGTTCTCCGCTAAAAGTGTAAGACCTAGAAACACCACAATTGGCAGGTGGGTTGCAAATTCCACCCACCAGTCAGGCACATAAAATGACACTCACTGACCTCTAGGTGGCACTATAGTAATCAAGTTAACGTTTTTCGCAATTATCTCAAAAACAGCTTAGCCTACAGTAAAAATGATTTTAATCTCATCTGCATCTTTCCTCAATTAGACTTCTGCTCAAAAAATGACAACTTTTGTGACTTTTTCTCCAAAACCTATTTTGGACATCTTCTCCAAAACCGCTGGGCCAATCGTCCCCAAACGAGTCCGGATCATCTATCAGACTCTGTTGATCTTGAGCTGTTAAAGAAAATTCAATATGTATGTATGAAACTATAAATGGGCAGAATAATAAAAATACAAGAAGACACTGTTTGCCACTAACTTTCCTGTCATGTCCAAATCCAGGCATTTTGCATTCAGTTTTCTTACCTTAAACCAGCAAAATTGGGATTTCATAATGTATATCAGCTCGAGGACAGTCCAGTCCCCATTTAGCATTATGTTACTACACAACAAGCCTCAATTTAAAATGTGCTCAATTTAATTCAATTGGGCTTTATTTCACGGTCATTTTATTATCTCTATCCATTGACTTAGTTTCAGATCCACATTCACAGTGAATCAAACTTTACCAGAATGATTGTTTGTTAAACAGCCCCACTCAGTGGCCAGATGTTTTATCATGCTACTACAGACTTGAGAAAACACACATCTACACCCTACAAAACTTTCCGGAAAAGATATATTATAAAAATGTTTCACCTTGTACCGCATGTTACATTGTTTCAGATGTGATTATTGTTTGCAGGGTAGATTACAAAATACCAAATACAAAGTTGCATTTACATCTGAATATCATGCCACTGAGGTCAAAAGCTGTTTTACTTACCAGCCACTTGTGTTCGTATCTGCATGCTGTTCTGTAGTGCAGCCAGTGGTTCTCTGTATTCTCCAGCCTTCCCCGTCAGCACCTCGTCCAGCTTCACTTTGACCTGGTTCAGCCGCTCCCGAAACAACCTGCAACCGCAGTAAGCTCAGTCTTTCCTTCTTCTTTCCTTCCATCCGTCATACTACTGAGATTATTATTACTTACTTCTCTTTCAGCTCCTGAAATTGTTTTTCCAGATCCAACATCTCATCTAGACATTCCCCTCTCCTCCGCTCACAGTCTTCATCATCCATCTCTTCACAGAAGACAGACAGACAGAGAGACAGAAACAGTGAACAACACAACATCTTCATCTGTCCCTGCATATAATCAGGCAACAATTTAGCAGAGCACTTGGATTTTACCTGAACTCTCCTCTTCCTCCTCCTCCTCTTCAGTCTCATCCAAGTCACTGTCCCTTTCCTCCGTGCTCTCCTCCATGGTCTCCTCTCCTCCTCTTTCGTTATCTCTCGGTTGCTCCACCTCTCCGTTGGCCTCAGGGAGTTGTGACTCTCCTTCTGCCTCCATCTCCTCCTCTGGCTCCCGCACAGGGGGTTGGGCGGGCATGGCTGGCTGAGGAACATGCAGACAGACATAAAATAATTACACTACAATGTGTCTGGGTAAAGGTTTAAAAGTCAAACAAATTAAAATCTTCTTGTTGAGCTAGTTCATTGAAAAGTCATTTAGTACACTGGGTTAGTCATGTGTACTTGTGTTTATTAACTTTTTGCACTTTATTGTTAATTTGATGAATAATGGTGAATCCTCATTTTGTGTAGATTAATTAACCTCCATCATGTGTTTAATCCTAATCAAGTCTTACACTTTCTAAACTTTTCAAATAAACAAGGCTGACTGATTTAAATATTTTTAGACAAAGTTTTTGTGTTTTTTTTTCATTATGTCCTGATTTGCAAAATAAGAATGTAAATAAATAATAAATCATCTTTATTTTATTATTTGGTAAAAGGAAAACAAACATTGTATGCATCCACTACTGAAGAGAAGTAGATTTACTCAGATTTAAAACACCGAATAACTTTGGAGTTTGGAAATACAGTTCTACATTTGCCATTTTATTTTACATTTACTATTTAAGGCACTACTTCTATTGCACACAGAAACTGTATATGAAACAACTTCCTTCAACATAATGACACTGAGAGATGTGCCAATTTTGCTCAACATGGGTGATGATGAAAGACAACACTGCAGTTGGGTTGCAATAGTAAGCCCCAAAGCAGAGCACAGGAAGCAGACAAAGGCATAAAAGATGCTACTCTGTTGGTAAAGCAGAAACTGTGAATTGTTGTTGTTGTTGTGCAGACAGAAAAATAATCTGAATAAAAAAGCACCGGGAAGCCCGCGGGACACCGAGCTACCGTGTGGCTTCCGCATCTCTGTCAAGTCACCTAGAAAAACACAGCACAGGACCGGAAATAACCCGATTTTTCCTGACGAAAAGCAAAAGATAATGAGCTAAAAACAAAATAATCTACCTCACACCGAGTTAGAACACTCTCAAAATAATTACAGCTGTAATATAAACGGGTATTTCCGTCAACATTTGTCTACATCCTTTCACAGGGCTTTTATTTTGTCTCCTCACCGGAAGTCCAGTTTTGACTGGCACAAATTGACCACTGGTAGCTTCCGTGATGTCATACAGTAAGATGGTAAACGTTATGAGGTCGACGGCGGTGTTTACTCTAAAATAAACATCCCAACTGAGTCTGGAGCTTCTTATACTGTCAGTCTATTTACTTAAAAAAATACTAATAATTAACAGACACTCGTTGTTGCATTTTAATGTCAAAATAACTGCAAATAAACCACAGTGAAGTCAAGTGCAACACTAACGTTAGCTAACAATTGAAAGCACACACAGCGAGGGAATGACTGCCTCCTCATCACACTGTCACACTATTCAAGTTGTGTTATTGACACATATTTTCTCTACACGTCTTCGGCCTTTGATATTAAGCAATATAATCTGCGTTTAAATGTCATGAAGCAGACTGAAAGCACTGTAGGCTTCATACTGACCCTGTCTCCCAACTGCACACGGATTAACAAGTAACGTTATCCGTCCATGCAGGCAGGCGATGCTGTTAGTAAACACATCTGAACCGTCCCTTCACCGGACAACACCGTGGCCAGAAGAGCCCGCTCACCTTCTCCCTCTGCTCCGCTGTAGGGAAACTTAAAGTCTCACTTCTTATATTTCCATTTTTAAAAAGCACTTCCTCTTCACTTCAGTCTTCAGTTCGACACTTTGCCGGACTCTACAACCAGTGGGTTCAGCCAATGAGCGCCGAGTTCTACTGTCGGATCGACCAATAGGAGCGAGCGTCCCTCCAGACGCCGCTGGTCCAATCACAATGCTAACGCAGGTTTAGTAAGCCAATCACAATCCAGTTTGTTGCTGAGAACCATCAGAATCAACCAATAGACGGGATGTTATACAAATACCGCGCATCTCCCTTTTTTCAATCTCATTCTAACATAGTATATTGTAACGTAATGTAATATAATGCAATATAATGTAATATAATGTAACATAGTATAAGATGGTGGGCCAGCTGATATTATACACTACACTACAAAAAATACAGTCCGTGCAGACTATAATAAATGAGTAAAATGAATAAAAAAAACAGTAAGATCAAAAAACAATATTCAGGAAAGATTTGCTCTTTTTTTCTTACTTTTTCCATTCTTCCTACATTGTAAACTTTGGATCGAGCCAATAAAGTAATCTTTCATTTTACTTTCTAATCGCTTTTTTACCCCTCTGTGTTGTGGTACATACTGTACATTATATACTGAAACATCAACACAAGGATCTAACTTTGTCCCTTAACTCCTCCTGTAGGGAGAGGAGTCATTCACACAGTGTGATACAGCCATTATGCCACTGGTGGTTAGCATCAATCGCCCTGTGGCTAGAACAGAAAATAAACTCACAAAGTAGAGACCCACTACTCAAACTAGGGTATAAATGCAGCTGTCATACTGCCATTAACCAGAAGATGGCACCAAAGTAACGCTAACAGAGAGCCCTGCAAATGATAATGGTGGAATTGATATCATTTGGACAATGGGCCTTTTTCATGGCAGACATTTTGGCATGTCATTGAAAGAAACCTACAGATGGAAATAATAACATTCATTATGTCCACATTCCATTTCCTCATACTGTGAGTACCGCGCACTGACAGGGCATACAGGGACACAATGGAAGAGAGCCATCGTTAATGTCATTAATTACACCTGGGCTTTATCTGCTAAGACAAGTCAAAATGTCTCCCATGAAAAAGGTAGATAAAGAATGGTTAGTTGAAAAAAATAAAATAAATAAAATCATACACTAATAAAGGTCAAATTTTAAAAGGATGCTTTGTTGAATGAAATACAAGATAATGAACAGTTGTAAAATTCACCTGTGAGGCTTATAAAGCAGAGAACTGACAATAAACAAAGACAAACAATATGTCCATTTTACATGTTTTTATTAAAGTTGCATAAAAGTGTAACAAAATTGGGCAAAAACAAGACCTGTTGTAGATATTGCTACATTTGTTTGTTGGTTTGATCTAATCATTGTCCAAAAAACACTTCCACTCCTCCAATGGTTTAGCTCTTGTATTTAGCCTCAATGATAATAATCAGTATATATATTTTTTTGCAATTTTCCCCAACAGTAAAAAAAACAGACTTCTCAATAACAGTCTAAGAAGGTATAATCCAAACCTGGATTTAGAAATGAAGATCCATTCAAATTCAGCTACTAATTGAGCTTGCCTGGTACAATCCGACTGATCAGAACGTCTCCAAATGAATGCAGACCGTGCTTGATTTGGAAACCACACAGGGAAGGCAAAAGCAATCGCACCAAAATGTATCTGAATGGATTTTTGTTCAACTACATGTTAATCCAAGGCCTGGCATCAAGAAGTGTCATGATCACAATAAAAACAGACCAAGTATTCAAATGGTAAATGTAAAGAACATTGTTTATCTAAACAAAATCACTGTATCAAGGCCTAAGTATTAAACACTCACTTCTAAAAAAACAACAGAATCTCATTTTGTTTTCCAAAAGAAAAAGAGGAGCGACAGAAGATCCGAGATTCTCCACATGCCGCAGTTCTGCTCAATAACACACGTTTTTAGCAGTTTGTGTTACCTCTTTAAAAATGAATGTCTCCCGTTTATTTGGTTTGTGTAACATAAATAATACCTAAGGCAACATCTGTTTTTTTTTTTAAAAAAGGAAAGGAAATTGAAGAGAGGATGGAGGTAGGGTGGACAGAAGGATGAAAAGGGGTGGGAGGAGGAGGAAGGAGGGGATGCCAGGGAGAAATGACAGAGCAGCAAGATGAAAAGGGGCCAATATGTGTATGTGTGTGTGTGTGTGTGTGTGTGTGTGTGTGTGTGTTGGCGCTGAGAGAGAAAGAGACAGACAGTGGAGGTCTGCTGTCACCGCAGGTGTTAGCAATTGGCCACATGAATCACAGCACAATGTTACCGCTTCTCCAATTGGCCGATGGGCTTCGGTCTCCAATCTGATTGGCTCAGGATCAGAAACAGATGGCTTATTCTTGGAGATGATTGGCAGCTGCAGCGGAGAAACACAGCTATGGACCTGTCTCCCTCTCTCAACGCTTGGTGTATGTGTGTCTACATCTGTATAAGAGGCAGCTGTGTTTGCTAATGTATTTCCGTTTCCTCCGCCCCAAGGGTGGCCTGTGTGTGTGATTGAAAGAAAGAAAGAAAGAGAAAAAAAGGGGTGAATGCATTTAGACAGTGGCTTCCCTCCCTCCGTCCCTCCCATTCAGACGTCTCGTTGGTGGGTCTACTGACAGGCAGAGGACAGCCCAAAGTCTCTACACCAACATGGACCTTTTCAGAGTTTCCATGTACGTGTGACAGCTCTGAACTGACGGTGGTGAACTAAATCCTTTCTAAGATAAAAAAGGAGAGACGGCGAGAAAGAGGACAGGGAGAGAGGGGGGGATGATGAAAAACTAAACAAAAAAAAAAAAACAAGGCAGCTGTGTTCTGGGTCCCCCTGTTGGACTGTCAAGTGTGCGTGCGTGCGTGTGTGCATGTGTGTGTGTGTGTGTGTGTGTGTGTGTGTGTGTGTGTCAAAATGCATCCAGATAAAAAAAAAAAAAAAACAGGAACCAGTCCTATACTAAAAAATCTAATTTGTTGTACAGAACAGCAGAATATACAGGCCAGAAAAACACTCCTATTATGAATGTTGCTGTACATTATGTAGCAACATACACACGTAGCATTTAGCAACACACATATGTGCAGGCTGGACAGCAGTGGCTTCTAAAGAGCCTCTCTTACGACTGCACCACGCATTTGAGGAAAGAAAAACATACGTTGCTCTCTTTTTTTTTTTTTCAAGAATTTCTATTCCTGCACACCCAACCTAAGAAAGCCTACTTCTACTCTAGCCTCAAGGGAAGATTTTTATTCTAAACTTAGTTGGACCATATGACCACCACAGCCAACCAGTGACTTTTTTTTTTTAAAGTTCCACTATTTCCAGGGATCAAATGTTCCTCTTTGTTGGACTAAAGATACACAGTACATTTTTGTTTGTGGTCAGAGGTTCAGATTTTCTTCCCAAAATTACATAGTGCAGATTTTTCAAACAGATATACACACACAAAAAAAAGACTTTAAATGCACCACTGTAGCAAATGCCTCTGATTACGGGGGGATGATCTAAAAAGACTGTACGGACCCCCTGAAAAAAGTTTGAAATTAAAAAACTAAAGTCAAGTGAATATCCCCATGCCCTCAAACTGAACTAGAAAATACCGAAAGTGGTCGGTAGCTGGATCATTTACAAGTTTATACCCCTTGCAAGTAACAGAATAAGGAATCTCATTGGTAGAGACATAAGCAATGATTAGGCCCCGCTTCAAGCTGATTGGCTGCCTCCTCCTTCCACTCTTTTCTTGGCCGTCGCGGACTCTCTCTCTTGTTCCTCTTCCCACTCTCGGCCGCTCCGCTCTCAGTAATTATGGGGGCTCGTCTCATCTCAGCTCCTCTCCTCTTCCTCCTCAGACAGATGGAGGGTTGTGGAAGGGAGCAGAGCTGGATGAGGAAGAGGAGTAAAGCCAAACAAAGGGCGAAGGAGGAGCAGGAGTGAAAAAGAGCACCTAGATTGAGACCAATGAATCGCTTGCGGTTGTTGTTTTGGCCTGGTTATTGTGCTTTCTTTACCTCACCTTTCCTTCTTTGATGATCGTATTTAAGAAGGAAGTCAGACAAACAACAAGGCAAAGTCACAAAAAAAGAACAATAAACACAATTTATGGGGCTAGATCCAGGCAGTTAGAGAAGAAGAGACAAAAAAAGGGGCCTAAACACAAGAGAAAACAAGTATTTCATTGAAGATCTTCAACGGAAGAGAACTGACATCAAAATAAAAGGTTGGAAAGCGCGGTAGGAAGACAAGAGGTGAGGGCTGAGGTGGAGGGGAGGAGGAGGAGGAGGAAGAGAGGGAGAAGGAGGTACGCCATCATTTCTTCTGAGGCGTGGAGAGCTTCTGCATCCCTCGGATCTTGTCGAGCAGCTCTGAGACGAAGACCTGTGGGGAGGCAGGAGGGACAAAACACATGAGGGGGGAAACAAAAAATACACAGTGCATAGATATGGGGGTAAAGTGTCATGGGGTCAAAGGATGGAAGGAAAGGAGGAAGGGGCTTACCTCAGTAGGTTTAAAACAGTCAACCAGTAAGTCCTGCAAAACAATAAAATACAGTCTGAATATATATTGTGTCTGTCTATGCCTCTTTGCATGCTTTGACTCGTCTATATGTGTATCTTACCTTGACCCTGGCTGCCCGTTCAACATCACTGGGCATATCCAGCAGCTCATCCACATCTATCTCCAGCTCTGGGATGGCCTCCTCCTGTAACACATGTAACAAGGGAAGAAGAGCACGGTAAGAAACAATCCCGTACTTCCTTACTAGAAAAGTAAGAAGTTGGTTTTTGGGTTAACACTGCTGTTAGAGAATCTGAAGGTGTCGGCTCACAGTCAGCGTCCACACACACACACACACACACACACACACACACACACACACACACACACACACACACACACACACACACACACACACACACACACACACACACACACACACACACACACACACACACACACACACATTAGAGAATTTCTTTCATGGACACATGGAAAGAAGCCCTCATCATCCTTTCTATTGTTAGTCCCTGTGTTTATGTTCTGTGGTTGTCTGCAAATAGACGAGGACAGACATTTCTGTCTGTCTGTATGACGTGGTGCAGTGACTGATGCATGTCCATGCCTGAACACCAGAGGGCAGTGCCTTCCTATCACATCACATCACATGTTGTACATGACAGAGAGGAGAGGGGAGAGACAAAGAAACAGGCATGTAGATTTCAAATGAGATTTTTCAAGGATGGAAAACAACAAAAGAAAATATAATATAATATATTATATATATATTTATATAAATGTAAACTGTATTTGCCTAAATGTGCACAGTTGTTCTGTATATAGAAAGCAAACTTCAGCTCTTAACTCTACATTTAAGCCTCACTTTAATGTTTAAAATCCAACAGAACACAATGGAAATAAAGTAGTGGTGGGGTTTCAACTGCAGCGCTACACTGTAATGAAGTGCATTAGAGCAGCAACTAACAATTATGGTCATCATTGATTAATCTGCAAATTATTTTCTCGGATCATTGGTTAATCATTTGGTCTAGAAAATGTCCAATGTGACGTCTTCAGATGTCTTGTTTTTGTCCAAAACACCCAAAGATATACAGTTTACTATGAAAGAAAATATTCACATTTAAGCCACTGGAACACTCAATTTTAGCATTCAACGTGATCACAGGAACATTTTGCGGAATTCGCATTTTGTCCAAAGTTAGATTGATACCAGTCTCACACTTAGCTTAGCATAAAGACTAGAAGCGGGGGGGAACAGCTAGCCTGCCTCTGTCCAAAGTGTTAAAACGACAAATTGCCATTGCGACTCATTTTTACACTATTGCTTTTGTACAAAAAGACAAACAAACAAATGGTTTATGCTAAGCTAAGCTAACTGGCTGATGGATGAGGCTTCATATCCAGCGTACGGCCATGAGAGTGGTATCGACTTTCTCAGCTAACTCAGGTCAAGAAAAGCAAACAAGCTTTAACAGCATGTATTGAAAAGCTTGCCTGTAAACTCCTGACTGTCATGCTGTAGCCTAAAGTGAAAACACGCTCTCAAAAGGGTGAAATCTGCTCCTTTGATTTTCAGAGCTCCACAGTAAATGAGATAATGACTTTATCCATTCAATATTCCATAATTCACATTTAAAACAGGAATAGCTGCAATAAATGCCCACTATTGCACTTTTCATTCCAGCGAAGCAATTATTGCCTGATACTGATAAGCTGACCTCTAACATGAAGTTTAAGAGCACACTTGCCTCTAGCGCAGAGATATACGGCTTATCAAATAAATAAAAGTGAAAACTCAGTTCGCTGTAAGTTCGTCTTTGTCTCTCTCTTTCCCTTCCTCGCCGCGCCTTCTCCCTTAAGCCAAGCAATTCTTTTTTTTCTCGATTAATCTGTCGCTCTTTACGAAGTGGTTTAATAGTCTCCCTCTCTTTCTCCGTTTCTCCATCTGTCTCACTCAGACACACTAGCTCAGTGTGTGCTATCAAAGCAGTTCACCACTGGCAACAACACACGCTCTCGTACAAACACTCGTTTCCCCCTCTTCTGCAACTCAATTGCTACCCTATATTCATGTCATTCTCTAGGAATCTCTCGCTCGCTCCCGTCCTCCCCCTCGGTGAGAGTTGCCCACACCAGCTGTCTCTGCACCTGCCCAACTGCCCCCTACCCCATCACACACACGCACACACACACTCATGCACGCTCACAAATGCACAGACAGACAGGCATAGCATGCTGCGTGTGCACATTTGTGTGGTAGGTTTCTTTTTTCTATTCAAGTGAAAAGTCCTCAACATCACACACACATGGATTAAAGAATTATAAAATAGGCATTATAAGTCTGAGCTGGGTGAAGTGTGTGTGTGTGTGTGTGTGTTTGTGTGTGTGTGTGTGTTTGTGTGTAAAGGGTGGAGTATAAGGATTTAATTCTGAGCAGGACAGCCTGCGTGTGTGAGATAGACTGGAGGTGACAGACAGACTTAGTGTCAGCAGAGTAAAACACACACACACAGACACTCACACACAGACACACACACACACATAAGTCGACAAACAGACATGCTGTAAGCAGCGATGCAGACAAAAATGTGCAAAAATACTGACACACACACAAAAGCTGAGAGTAAGACATTGAAGCAGAAGAGGGACAAAAAGTACATACACTGACAAACAGACACACACACAGGCATTCTTACTGAATTTCAAAATTAAAGCACTGTAAGACAGACACAAAGGTGTACATAGACTCAAACACACACATGCTTACACTGCAGACATATTGACGCTGTCTCACTCATACACACACACACACACACACAATCACACACACACACACACACACACACACTGTGAAGTCTGACACAAAGACTGATCTGCCCAACATGTGGGCTCCATGTGCTATATGCAGTAAAGAGAACTACGAAAGAAAACGTGAGAAAGACGAGAACACAAAGAAAAGGAGCTGATAAGATAAAGACACTCAATAAGTTGTAAACAGTGAAAGAAAGATGAGACAGAAATTCTTTTCAACTTTGTACCTATTCATTTCTTGTATGAGCAGCAATCCTTCTCCACTGTGTGTCTCTGTGGTGTACTCACAAGGTAAATGAAATGCACTAATTGCTGTTTAATGTACCTGAAAAGCATCCACTGCTTTCCATTTTAATACAGCTTATTTGAAAACGATTTGAAAGACAAACTGTTAAATCTGCAAGGGGGGAAGGGAACGCCCAGAGGAAGGAAGGTAAGAGGTTAAGAAGCACATCGAGAAAAAGGAGCAGCTGAGTGGAGCAGACCGAGAGGGGGAGACAAGAGGAGAGAGAGGAGGGAGGGAGGGATGTTGAAAAAGGCCGGAAGACAGGCCTCAGAGTGGAGACACAAAGAAAGCAGGGAATCACGAGGGAAGATTTCCAAAACAATCCTCCCAGACTGACTTAGTGAACTAGTCTGGAGACTGGAGGGGGTTTTTACTGTTGGCTGCAGATGTGATCTCCACTGAAAGGTGGCTACAAGATATTGGCACACGCTGCAGGATTGTGAACACAGCAGTGCAGTGTGGAACAATTCGGAGAGGTCTGGAGGTAAAGAAAGACAAATCCGGTTTATCCTGAACCAGGAATCTTTTCAGTAAATCCAAAGGACATACGCAGTTTGGGTGTTTGATACATTTAAGAAGTCTGACTGTGCAGTTTACAGTGATGCATGTGCAAGGACTAGCTAGAGAGGTGTTGTTCCACCATGAGCATCCAGAAACACCTTCAGTGCTCCGTCCATGAGATCAGTTAACCAGTTTTTCTGGTATCACAAAGCTGGCTCACTTTTAACCAAGGTAGATCATCACCACGGTAACCTATGCTGCATGGCTAACCCTTCAACAGCCTGCTGAGCAATCAGCTCACTGTAAAAAATACATATAGGATGTCAGCCTGGACAGAGGTGCTGAGGTTTTAGAAGCGCAATATTTCTAATGTATCGGTAGCCTCAGATAGTGCATTCACTCTTGGTTAAGGACAGGACTTCTAACCAGCGCTGTAGTCAGGACCACCTTTGTCCATGACAAATCCAAGACCTGGACTAGTCAAGACCGAGTCAAGGCCATGAAAAATAAAAAATGTTTTTGCCATTGTCAGTGAGATGAGTGGTGGCAGCCAGGCATACGATTACAAGTGACATGTACTGGCCACCTGGTAACCATGGTTCCCAATGTCAATGCCCGTTCTGGATGGATTTTGAATTAAACCAATAGCTGTTTTCTGAACCAGCATGCCTCATTAATGGTTTTGTTCTTGAGTATTTAGTGAGACCACGTCCGAGTGCAGATACTAACGAGTCCAAGTCTGAGACAATAGAAAAAAATGAGTCCAGACTTATTGCTGAAAGGATTTATGACAGCACAGATGTGTTTATGTGATAATGGCTGGTAATAAAATATAGACCCACTGTCTGCTTTTGACTAGAAAAACTAAATCCTCACACTTTTAAAGAGCTCTGTAAATTATAAATGCAACATATTGGTCAGGTAGACCTCAGCAAGAATTCATTTATTATGACTAGATTAAATAAAAGTAGTTTGTTCAAATGAACGCAGTACTATTTGAACAGCCACCTGTCTATAGGTCACACTGCACAATAACTGCAAGTGACTGTTGTTTTTATTTGAGAAAAACATTTTCAGCATCAATCTTGGCTGAACTGGAATTAGACATCACAAAACTTTACTCAGTCTGAACCACCAGCATCACATGAGAAACAAACCGATACTGTGAACCTACACATAGACCTGTTTTAGTGCGGTCTTTAAATTTAATTATACTCTTCCTGACAAGCTTGCAAATATGATTCACACACCAACACGATGAGGCTGTGACGGGGAGAGAGCAACAGACTGACACACTGTCTGTCTGCAGGCTGCCTAGCAGAACAGAGCAGAATGAGATGTGACATTATGAGAGCGTATTTGTGCTCATACGTGTGTGTCTGTGTGTGTGTGTGTGTGTGTGTGTAGGTCATAGTACTACTCCTCTCACAGGGGACTGTGTAGCAGCTACAGGCTTGGACAGATCAAATGCCAGATACAGCTCCCTCACCGGAAAAACATAAGCCACACACACACACACACACACACACACACACACACACACACACACACACACACACACACACACACACACACACACACACACA